TGTCACTTCTCATGAGAGTTTGGGTTTGCTCTCGGGATTGTCCATGAAACCAGGAAAGAAGCACATGACCATAACAATGCTGAGCAAAACTTGAAACTCTTGTAGAGATTGAACATTTTGTGTGTATGGGTATCTCTGGTCTATCTTGAGAGTAATTGGTTTAAGGTCTTACCACCAATAACTTTGACAAGGCTTTGAGATATCTATACTAATAAAAGGTTTAAGTTGTTAAACACCTTTTGTATGCATAACTATGTCATAGTAGTTTGGATCGAAAGAGACCTATGTAATTGATCAAACAATGTGGGGGATTATTGGATTTTAATCTCATTAGAGATTAAATCCAATGGGTTTGATTGGTTAATTACATGAGAAATTGCACCTACACACTTGTTTTAGAAAACAACTTTTCTCTTACTAAAACCAGTTTTGAACTTGTCCCACATTGGATATTTACAAGTTTTGCTTTGGGTTTTTTAATAGGAGCTGATTTACACTCCTTAGAAATAGTAGAGGAGAGTATGGAGGTTTGATACCGCACAACGCGCAAGCACGCGTGTATGCGGCGCAATGAGGTGCTTTAGAGGCGCACTTTCCTCACACTTTGCTCGCACCCGCGTGGCTCGTGAAGGGCGGCTTTGGTTTTGGTGCAATGCTAACCGTTGATCACTGTTCAAGCTGCCTTCTCTAAACCAGCACCTACCTTTTCTTCATAAATCTTCAAAAACTATTTAAGGGGCATGAATCAGACATCTCACACACAACATTTTCGAAATTCACTTTCTCTCTCTCTCTTAGTCCGGTCTGCTACAGTCTCACAGAAGGTTTCTTCGGAGACTCTTCAACTTTGCTGATTGCAGATTCTCGCCCAAGGCTCTGTTGTATCCTGGGAACGAATTTGCCTGTAACGCAACAACAAACTCAGTGAAAACTGAGTGGGGGCAAATAACGTTCTAAAGACAGTGTCTTCAGATGCGTCTCAGAGCTTCTCCTCCAAGTTTCAGTGACCCCATTTCCCAACATCTTTAGCATAGCAAGCAGCTTGGTTTTCTTCATCTAGAACCTGGGGTTAAGGCTGTTCTACCTCCTCCTCCTCCATCTGGTGGGACATTTGGGGAAATCAACTGGAATTCTGGCCACATATGCGAAGGTTAGCTTGATGTGCTTGGGAAATGTCTTCAAGTGGGTGATCTGCATGGTTTGTTTTTACGATTGCATGAACCGCTTCTTAGAAAAGAAGATTGATATGGATTGTGGAGGAAGCATGAGGTGTTTAAAAGTCGTACTCTGTGACAGATAGTTATTTATCTATTTTTTGATAGATAAAATCAAGTTTCATGATAGATAATTAATTATCAACTATTTGATTGCATCTAACTATATAACAAGCCAAATGTAGTTAATTAATGAGACTTAAGGATGGCAATTTCTAATCTACCTGGTGGGTACCCGTTATTATCTTTCTAATGGGGCTTTGCTTAAAGGATGGGTTTCGAGGTTCTACAACCCATACAGGTATGGGTAGGATACATATTAGGCTAAATCCAAACCTCCCCAACCCACATATTGATAGAAATCATAGAAGCTTTATCTACTAGATGTTGAATTTAATAATACTTTGCATTTTATGCAAAAGATAGTTGATAGTTCATATATTTTTTACATGTTTTAATCAAATAATTTGAAAATGTGTTGTTTATTTGTGTTATTTTACTTATTTATTACTAATATGTGACAAAAAATAATAAGAAACTAGATGCTGACTCTAAACCCAACCTGCCCCTACCCTTCAAGGATTTTGCATTTTTATATACGGGTAGGGTTTGGATTCTTAAAATCCAACCAATTACGTGTTTTAGCACAGGTATAGGTTGGGAGATTTAAGAAAACAAGTAAGGTTTATAATTTACAAAACCCTCCCCAAATCTGCCTCGTTTCCATCCCTATTTAGATCAAATGTTCTAAGATCATAACCCTAGATTCATTGGATGAAATTCCATTTCAGAAATAGTGTTGTCCCCACATCGATGTTTCATATGAAAATAGGGGTGATCAACATCATACAATCATACTGTTTTTAATTGGGTTTTATTTTAAAAATTTGAGAAATAATGGAGGACAAATTAGACATTTTGCTTTTTTAGTCAATATTTGTTCACAATCTCCATTTCAAAAAAATAAAAGGTACTTTAAATATTTTTTCAAACAATAAATTTTTTTCTATCCATTTGTTAAACCATAAGGATACTTTAAATACTAGTAAGCATGCACATGCTTTGCACATGGCAATTCTAGATGATGATAATGATAGTAATAATATATCCAAAATTTTCTATAAACTATTATTTTTTTTGTTTTATATTTTATATTTTGTATTTATTATTATTAATCGAATGTAGATTGCAAAGTTTGAATCTGATTACATAAATACGTTATCCAAATATATGATAATTGGATTGAGTTGTGAAGTTTCAAGTATCATTGACAAGCCTACCTGCTTGGTACGGATACAAACGGATTAGATCAAATTTGAATCAATGTATATTTGAATATGATCCAATACTATTAACAACAAATTCGATAGCATTTCATAAACATGGATTTGAAAACGAATCCAATGAGGAAGTTAGATATTTGGATATGATCCATTCCAATTTAATTTAAAAAATAAAATATTGAAAGAAAATTAAAATATAACAATTTAAATAAAGAGAAACAAAAAAAAACAAGCATCTTTTTTAACTATTTTCATTATATATACATTTTTTGTAAAAAAATAAATAATAGAACAAATTTACAAAAAGACAATATAAATAATATATTTAAAATAATATATATGTATATGTATGTATGTATGTATGTATATATATATATGTGGTGAAAAGTAGTAGTTCAATTTACAATTTAAACCCCACAATTAAATAAGGACTAAATTCAAAAATAAGTATTTTAGTTAAAAGAAAAGTCTACAATCTTTTTCATATTTTAATAGTAGTATAAACATAGAATTATAGATATGTTCAATTTTTATTGTAGTGTTTTTTTTTTGTATTTTTGTGTATAAAACTAATTCTAATATTTTACACTTACTTTTTGTTTAATATGATATTATACATGTGCTTGAATGCATTTATTTATTTTGTAAAGTGTATGTATTCTTTATTTTTTATTTTATTATTTATTTATGATGTTATAGTTTAATACATTTAACCCAAAAGTTGAACTATTTATTGTTAATTTTTATATTTCATTTTTGGCCAGTTCTAAATTATGTATTTCATTTTCATTATTGATAAAATTGATTTTTGTTTATTACATTTATTTTTCAATTTGATTACATAAATGTGTCTAATTTTCCTATATTTTTAATTTTTTATATTTATTTTTTATTTTAAAATTTTATTACCTAACTATGACCTCATAGATTGATCAATTTGATTCAGATGGTTGAATTGCTTAACCACCACTTGGATAAAGAATGGTTTTTTTTTAAGTCGACTTTAAAATATATGGATTTATACAGTTAAAAATATTGGCATAGATGTAATGAGTAGCATTTATTAGTCAAAAGTAACTTAAAAATATAGGATTTAATAAATGGAAATTGCATTTAATACCTTAAGTATAAGACTTAATTAGAAGATATTAAATGAGGTGGAAATTAATATTTAATCTTTTTGGTGTATCTTTTTTTGTTTATTTATAAAAAAAATGTAAGATTTAAATAGAGAGAATTGAATGGGTGAAAAGTAGTAGTTCAATTTATAATTTAAACCTCATAATTAAATAGAGACTAAATTCAAAAATGAGTATTTTAGTTAAAAGAAAGTTTCACAATCTTATTCATATATTTAATAGCGGTGCAAATATAGAACTATAGATGTGTTCAATTTTTTTATAACTTTTTTGTATTTTTGTGTGTAAAAATAATTCTATTATGTCACACTTACTTTTTGTTTAATATGATAAATATATGATATTATACACGTGCCTAAATGCTTTTTTTTGCAAAATTTATGTATTTGTTTTTATTTTTGTATTTTTCATATTTTATTAACTTTTATTATTCATTTATGACATTAAAGGCTAACATGTTTGACCCAAATTTTGAACTACTGATCTTTGCCAAACAGTAAAATAATTTCATTTTTTGTTAGTTTTAAATTATATATTTCATTTTCATTACCAATAAAAATAATTCTTGTTTATTACACTTTTTTTAATTTGATTAATAAAAATATTATAAATGTGTCTAATTTTTTTAAATTTTTTATAATTTCTATATTTATTTCTATTTAAAAAAATTTATTACCTAACTATGATTTCATAGGTCGATCAATTTGATTCGGATGGTTTAATTTGATTTTGTTTTTGAGTCAGTTTTAAATTTCATAGATTTATATTGTTAAAAATATTGACACAAATCTAATTTAATAAGAGAAAATGGGAGTTAATAATTTAAATATAAGACTTGGGGCTTGTTCGTTTATTCTTAACTCTTATCTCTTAAGAAGAATCTTTTAACTTTACGAGAAAAATAGTTGTTCGGTTCCTCTTATCTTTTATCTCTTAAAGTGTTATCATACAACTTTTTGTGTTTTAATGATACCCCTAAAAAGACAAACAAAAACTCTCATATATAGGGTCAAAATGGATATTTGATAATTTTCAGAATTTAGAACAACATTCTCTACATTCAAAGTTCAAAGAAAAGAAAAGTTCACCAATACCAATATACCTCTTAATGTAATTATTGGACTTTCAAATGTCATACTTGAGGGCAAACGAATAGACCCTTAATGAGAGGGGATTAAATGAGGTAGGAAATAATAATTGAAGTTACATTTTCAACCTTATCATTAGAGATGAACTAAACACACATTTATTGGTATTTTAGTAGCTATAAAAGTTGACCTTAAAATTGTAATAAAATGATTTTTATACCATTTTTTTAATAAAAAAGTAGAGGGCCAAAAAAAGTTACACATTACATTCACACTTTTATATATAGTATAGATTTAGCCCTTTAATTTAACTCTATTTGTGAGTGACAATTCTTATCTAGTTTGGATTTTTAGACCAACTTACAGCAGATTCCCTGATCACAAATGATGAAAGAGACCTACTTGAATGATTACTAACACGTTTTAGTATGACCCACTAAAATTCTACCAACTTTTTACTTGTTAGTATACAGACGCGCGGGTTGATTGGCTCTTTGAATCCTACAATTTCTGACTTTGTCTAAAGACCAAAATTCAATGGTGAAGATGGTGACATCTGAAAATAAGTAGCGACTGGATCAACTTCCGTCTTCAGCAGTATCTCTTCACAAGAGGAATTGGAGACCTGTGGCTGAAATACTTCCTCAGTTGTTTCATGTAGTCCAAGTTCGTTTTCCAAGTATGACACCCACCTCATGCTTTCAACCTCTTTTTTGCATCCTTCAGAGTGTTGGTTAGATTCAACCCCACACATAGGAACGCTGGATGTCAACAAACATGGGTAATCGTCAAACACCTCCCAAAAGTCTAAATTAGGCTCGAATGGGATTTCAAGCCTTTCTTCTGTTTGTTCATTCTTGTTCACTTCTTGTAATGTGCTTTGAGTTTCGCACAGTCGTCCCCCAGATTCGGATTGTGGATATGCTTGCCCCTCTCTTCCTGACGCGTCAATTTGATTTGAATCTGAGACACAAGAACCACAGGAAGACGATGAAGTGGAAGGTGATAACTTTTGACATTCATCTCTGGAACGATCAACTTCCTGCACCATTCTGTTCTCAATTTCAATGCCAATTTTATCATCTAATAAAGCGTCCAAGACGTCCTTTTTCCACTCAGTTGGTGATACTTCAACTGGGGGACCCTGTTTCTCCACCAACTCCTCAAGAATTTTGGGTGCCTTTGGTACTAATCGCTTCTTCAAATGGGTATTCCACACGTTCTTAATCTCATTATCAGTTCGCCCTGGCAAATGAGAAGCAATTTTTGACCACCTGTGGAGTATTATACCATCCATCCAGAATAAGTGGATAATAATATAGAGAAATCAAGGAACCCCATTTAGAAAAGTAGACTAATTAAGAAGTTTTATCAAGTTTCTGGCTGAAGCTTACTTGTTTCCTAACAATTCATGTAGCTTGATTATGATTTCCTCTTCTTCCACGGTGAAGTTTCCTCGCTTGATATCAGGTCGAAGGTAATTAGTCCATCTTAATCGGCAACTCTTCCCACATCGAAGCAAACCTGACACAGAAAGACATGAATGTTAGATCATTAAGTTGATGTGAGGTCAATATATAATTCATTGAAATAATCACCCTAACAGGTACTAATCTTATATATTGAAGAGATGGAATTTTATTTGGTTCAGTGGAATTAACGAAAGAGCTTTCAAATCCTGCAGTTACAAAGTGGTTATAAAATTTTTCAGGTACTTTTCCCTAACAAAGTGGAACACTATTTTCGAATTCATCATCTGATCGGTCTCCCAAATAAATGATGCCATAAATAGAGCTACAAGAACTCACAGAACAGGCTTTAGAGAGAGAGAGACCTGCTTGTTTAGGGAGGGCACGCCAGTTCTCATGTCCATGCCTCTGAATGAAGGCTATGAGCTTCATATCCTCCGCTGGAGTCCATGGGCCCTTCTTCAACCCTGTCTTGTCGCAACATGGAGTGCGCCCTCGACCCATCTCCAGACACTTCCGTCAATCTCCTGCAGGGTGGGTCGAAGACTTCTTACTCCTTCGATCGACTACGGACTATAAACAGGATCACTCGCCGAGGCTTTACTCCTTTGAATCACAAATTAAGCTTCGTCTGGTGCTATATACACGTATATAAAGAGAGAGAAAGACTAACCAACAAGGGTCATGCCAAGCTCTTGGATTCTCCCGTCCTTACCAAACGCTTGTAATAAATTAGTGAAAAGGACATATATCCAATCATCCATCAGTGGATATTATTTATTTCTTCGACTTGAAAATTGCACCAAAACAGTAGGAATATGGGTTAAATTAGAAGTAATAGATAACATTGATTTCATAGCCATATTGGTACTGTAACTAACGAAGTAGGGGATTTCAAGTCATTGCCCTAGCTACATAAACATACCATTCACCTTCGGTTTAATTCCTTACATTCATTGATTGTTCCCTACCAATAGGGATGCATAATCCTGGGATCCGATCCGATTGAATCTAATAGGACTTGATTTGAATTCGGATCTTATTAATAAATTGGATTTTTGGATTTGATTCGATTTAACTTATTTTATTTTAATTAATAAATTATTAAAAGAAAAATAAAATATACTAAATTAAATAAAATAAAACAAAAAAATATAAATATTTTTTAATTATTTTTATCATATATATATTTATTATAAAAAATAAATAATATAACAAATTTATAAAAAATATATTTATAAATAAATAAGGCATATATATGTGTTTTATATAAATGAATCGGATCTTCGGGTGGTCTAAATCTGATTCGATTTATGATAAAATCCTATTTTTATCAATCTGAAAATCCGAATAAGGGTGATTCAATTTCGACCAAACTCGGATCGGATCCAAATCATTTACACCCTTACTAACCAACGGCTTTGATCCGATCTCGGCTTAATTACCATGGTACTTGGGGCTTCTAATTTATTCGTCTTCTCGCTAAACGGAAAATCTATGATACCCGAAAAACACAGTCCGGATCAGGTAGCGACGGCATTGTAGCCACATTCAATGAATACTTCATACTTGCAAAAATTTTTTGACACCTTTCTTAAAATAAAAGATTTAAAATAACTTTTGACAGTTGTCACTTGTCAGGTGTTCATTGAATACGCTTTGCCTATTTGATCCGGACATAATAATGGAAGAGCCAAGATAAAACAAGTTTCGTTTTATTGGATGTGCCAACACGTTGCATGAAGAAGGTTTCACATAAACTCAAGTTTCATTATTTTATTTTTTTATAAGGAAAAGAAAAATTTTATAAAGGATGTGCCAATACCGTTCCAACAGCTTTGCATCAGAACATACAAGGCCATAATGACTGTTTCAGTGGGCTTTAAATTGAATGACTATGTGTCTGGTTCCATTTACAATTTTTCATTTATATTTGTTTGTAAAATAAAAAAAGATAATAATTATAATTGTTTATGACTATTTGGCACTACATCAGCGTAACAGTGAAAAAATGTTTAATCGTTTGAGGAAGCTTTAAAAAATAATTTTCTTAAATGGTAGGCGTACATAGAACCGAAATCCACTTTTGATATTCTCGATGCATAAGTAAGAGCATGAGAAGGAAACTGATGAAGTGGCGCCTATATGGAAGAGTTTATTGAATAAACGCCCATGGAACCAAACATCCTGTGAATCTAGTTTCTATCAATGCACTGGTTTTAGGTTCAACCCATTCAAATCAAAATCAATTTGGATGGATTGTACAAACAAATAAGATATATTAGATTGGATCTGTCCATACTTAATGGTCCAAAGTATTTATTGAATTGGATTGGACATGGTCCATCCGTAATGATTTATGATGGTGCGCAATCCGGCTGGTCCTAGCTGTCAATGACCTTGCCTCTGAACGGAGCTGCGGGGAACCTGAAACGGAGAGGATGAGGAAGCTCCAGGGGAGACCCGGTGTGGAGGCTCCGAAGCTCAAGTTAGAATCCTTCAAAGGCAAGATGAAACCAGATAGCGCAGAGTTTGCATACCTTATTCTTGGGGGCTCGGGAGCCTTTTATAACCACCTCGCGCACTCACTTCCAAGCTCTGTTAGATCGGGCATGATTATTTCTGAGCTCCTGCCAGTTCGGATGTCATCCCCTCTGGCTGGGCAAAACTGCCACTACTCCCTTTGTTGGAGCCGTCTCTGCGACTGGTGACGATGGTGGCAGGTGGCGGTGGTAGGAGGCCGTTTGAAATGCGGCTATCAAGCGTCAGATCCCAAATCAGTCAGGTGCACCGCCCTTGGATACGGACATCCTCGGTGTCAAGTATGGTACGTTTGGTCAGTCTGGCGTTTGGGAGGCGAAGTGCTGGAGTGGCGAGCAAGATGAAGTCTTGAGTTCGGATAAGGGAGCGTCCTGAACTGCCATGAGGTGGGCCAGTTCGGGTCACTACCTTGCGAGGCTTGGGCTCTTTGTATGGAGCTCGGGCTCCTAGTAGGGAGTTCGGACTCCTAGTAGGGAGTTCGGACCGCTGGTTCCTCCCTTCGACGCCCGTGCCTTGGGTGCGCTGTTTGTCCCGAACTGTTTGATTTTGCCACGTGGAGTGATTGTGAGGTTGAGCCAAATCTCCCTTCATCAATTTATATTGGATTGGGTTGGATATATTGAACCAATATCTGGTCCAATAAAAGATAAAAATATAGGTATCAATGGATCAAGTTTAGGTTGAAACCAATCTAAATTAAAACCAATTTAAACAAATTGGATGGTCTAGACATACTGATTCAAAATGGACCAAAATATTCATCAAATTAGACCAAACCTGATCCATCTGTAATGGACTCATATTAGATAAGATCGGATTGGAACATACCTTTGATGTGTTGAGAGAAGTCCTTGCCACCCATTAATCAATTCTTCGTATTGGGGCTATCATACGAGAGAAGTCCTATTTGTGTCACAACCAATCTATCTATCTATCTATCTATCTATCTATCTATATATATATATATTAAAACAAAACGGTCAAGAAATTTTCTCATTTTTTCTCATTTTTTGTTTTTTTACTCCATGTCATTTTTGAAACAACCAATGAGATCACTTTCCCAATAACCTAAATAATCTCTTCTCCTAAACTGCCTCCCCCACTTTCTCCAAAATTATCTCTAATTCCTATTTATCTTCTAAATTATCTCTAATTCCTATTTATCTCTACAATTATCTCTAATTTAGTAGAGAGTTTCTCTCCTAAATTATCTCTAATTCCTATTTATCCTCTCCTCTACATTTTATCTATATCTATTTAAAGAAAGTTTGGATTAAAACAAGAATTATTTAAATATTCTAACAAAATTATATAATAACTTTAAAATAGTTATTAGAAACACAAAATTTAATTTTATATTTTTACAAAATATATCACAAAATTATGTTTTTCCATATTATCAATTTCAATGCTTTTCAAATATTTAATAATATGTAATAGCTCTTAATAAATAAAATTCAAATAACAAAATACTTTAAATATTTATAGATTATTTAAATATTTAAATAACTAAATATTTATAATAACTATATTTTAAATAGTTAAAATAACGAAATTATCTAATAAATAATTTTATATTTTTACAAAAATATATCACGAAATTATGTACTAACAATTTAAATTATGTTTTTTCGGATCATCAATTTAAATGTTTTTCAAACATTTAATAATATGTAATAGCTCTAAATAAATAAAATTCAAATAACAAAAAATTTTAAATATATATATATATATATATATATATATTTTATTTAAATATTTAAATAACTGGATATTTATCATAACTAGATTTTAAATAGTTAAAATAACGAAATTATCTAATAAATTTATAAAATTTCTTTAAAGCAGAAAAATAATTATAACATAATATTGAAATTAATAATAATTTAATATATTACATAATTATTAATGAAATTATGTAATAATAGTATAAATTATGATTTTATGGATAATTAAATTCCATAAATAACTAATACTTTAAAATTTAAATATATTTTACATATTATTTAAGTATTTAAATAACTGGGTATTTTAAATTAACAAAATATTTAAAATAACTAGATTTTAAATAGTTAAAAAAATTATGTAATAAATTTAAAAATTTTCTGAAAAGTAGAAAAATAATCATAACATAATATTGAAATTAATAATAATTTAATATTTTTACATAATATTGTAAATAACTAATTTCACTTATATCAAGTAATAATTCGAGAAAATAACTTTCAAAGAATTTAATATTTATCAAAAATAATTTTAAACTCTTAATCTATATTTGTTATATAATTCTAGATACTTAAATACTTATTGTATTTCAGTAATTATTTATTGTTTTTGTGATAAATGTATTTTCAATGATTATGTGTAAATTTATTTTGTTTTGTTATTTAATAGAAAANTAATTATTGTATTTATTGTATTTTTGTTATGACTTATTGATTAATATTTGTTAGAGATTATACAATTTATTGACTAAGTTAATATATTTTTAGTACTTATTGTATTTTTTTCATTATCAATATATTTTCAATAATTGTGTATTTTTGCTATAAATTTTCAATAATTATTGGAGATTAAACTATTGTTATTTATTAGATATGAGACTATTAATTTAGCTGAAATTATGAGTGTTCATGAGTTGGTTCGGTTCGGCCGTAGGCTATTTGGCTAACCAAATTGACCTGGTCAGGTTGGACAGTTAGTCATCTAAAACCGACTGGCCCACTCAAGTTGTATCAGTTTGGGTCATTTTTTGGTTTGGTCAGTCAGTTCAAAAGGTTTAAACTTAAAAATTAAATTAAATTTTAAAAATTATAGTGTAATTATTAAAAATAAATTTAAAAATTAGATTTATGATATAAAACATTTTATACTAAGAAATATGGGAAATTTCCCACTTTTTCATATTAAAAATTATATTTAAAATATAAATATTAATATATATCCATGGTTAAGTCGTTCGATTTTGGTTAGTTTACAAATGCCTAAAGCGAAATTGATCCAACTTGGTCGAATTGGGAAACTTTTGAACCAAAGCCGACCTACATGCTGTTTGGA